AAATCGGCGAGCGAAGCGAGCCGAGAGGTAGTCTGGGGAGGGAAAAGGGTGGCGGAGCCTGGAGATATACCTTCGGATGCCGCCGTTCCCCTCTCCAGCAATTAACTTGTCATTAAAATGTTAACACGTCAAGTTCTCATCACGGATTTCGGCGTGAGCTTATTATGTCGCTTTTGTAAAGCAATATTTGAATTCGAGATGAAGTAATAGTGCAGGCAAAGAGATCTACTTAACTTCGATCGCCAACTTAAGTAACACCAGCTTCGGAGAAAAGAAATATTGACGTTTTAAAAGAAAAATGCGCCGCGTGCGACGGGGAAGAACAGTCGAATATATTCTCATGAAGATCCCTCAAGTTCGCAGTTCGCGTCATAATGCTAACTAGCCTGCGTAGTAGGCGCTTGGAAGTAGTGGACGCAAGAAAGAACCGGCCCGCGAGAGGAAGACACTCGAGAGGAGAGGAAACGCCTGCCCGGAAGGCCCACAAAAATCGTCTCCCGCACCCAGTCCAATTACCTGGTAACCACTGCGTGATCTGTCAAAAATTTTAACAGAAAACGACTGACCCCACACAAACAAAGCTTGCCGCCAAAACACGTTCTACTTTTTATCCTCGGTCTAAATATATCTGCTATAAGGACTAGCTGGGTTATCTGATTATAGAGCGATGGAGCAATAAACTGATGGTTAACACACAGATTTAAATCGTTCTAAACCACGGGCACAATTGCAATAAATAGGAAAAAACAAAGTCAAAAATGGGTATCTTTTAAAGAATGCATGCCGTGTATCATAAAAAGCTATTAAATCAGGTTTTATATTGTACTCTGAGCTTACTTAGTCACAACTGACCAGACACCAACGATCACAGCGTACGTGGGAAATGTTAAGTAGCAGCCGTTTTTGTAGCATGCAGACATGTCTTACTAAGCGAACCTAAACTTAGAACACAAACTGTACTGAGACGTTTTCTGCTGCAGTAACGAGACATAAACAACAAACCTCAGGTCGCCTCCGAACGAATAATTGAATAGTAAAAGTTTTCAAATTCATGCCCCTGGTAAGTGTTTCATTTCATCAATCATGTACAAGTTTTGATGGTACGCTTTCCATCGACAATACAAGCCGCCAATTTCTCCTGAGCAAAGAATATTTCCTCTTACCTTCATTGCAACGATTCGACAAACCTCTTGTCTCTCGCCACTTCTGCTAATGCGTATCTGATGTTAATTCCTTCCTTCGTGAATGCTGGTGAATACCATTAGAACATTACAACTTTTCTTTGAGATTACGGCCACATAGTCCTATTAAATCAGATTGAAGTGACCTCCGAGACCTGAACTTCGACTATACCATTTAGATGGTTTCAGGAGCTGGTAGTGTAATATAATTACACCTTATTCGACGGTTTAGCATATATAATACGTGCGGATATTTTGCGAGTTGCGTAGTATTTTTCCGAGCCCCGCAGGAGCGAGGAAAAATACGAGTAATGAGCAAAATGTCCATTCGTATTATATGCTAAACTATAGATTAACAGGTTTATTGTTCCACTACCCCCAAAATTGTTATTTTGCAATTGGCTTCTACCTTTTGGTAAGAATATTTAGAAAAATCCTGATTCCGTCTGTGAGAATGACGTTAACAATGAAAAAAATATTCGCGCGTATTAATGAATGAGAGGTTAATTATTCTACTGCAAAAAAATGTTATTTTGGCTTCTATTTTTTATTTTATTTTCGTCCGCCGGTTCGTTCAGTTCAGCCATAGTTGCTCCTTTTGCATCCGCCGGTATTCGCCCTGTTGTAAACCGGTTAAACCTGGTCATGACAGTGCATTACGGCCACGTATTTTGCGCGTTCTCTTGACCTTATATTGACAGTTTTCTCGCCCAGCGCGGTTAATTTTTCCTTCGGGAGAATCTCGACCAATTCGAAATATCCGCACTCACAGAATGCGAGTTGAAACGATTTTCGTGGGTCTTCCGGGCAGGCGCTCCCTCTCCCCTCGCGTGTCTTCCTCTCGAACGCTCGCTCTTTCTTGCGCGGGCTACGCAGGCTAAAAGGTTGCGACAGTTTGTCGTTGTTTTCGTCAAAACAATCTATAATAAAACAATTATTAGTTTCGGTTTTTGTGATATCCTAAATAATCATAAGTTCTCGGTCTCGTTAAGTGTTATCAGCTCGGTCTTGGGCTCGGCTATTAACACCTACCTCGACCTTGATTATTCCGAATATCAGAAAAACCTAATCCAATAATTGTTTAGAATAATAATAGGTTTTATGTCTACATTTGTGTATCATTATACCCTACTTTACTTTATAGGAGCTGTGCCACGAAATTTATCAAAAGTCAAATAGTGGAGACTGTTACCAAATTTATCGAAAGTTTAAAACAAAATAACCGCTCAAAAAGTTAGAAGACTGTATAAATGACCGCGCACCAAATTCAAAAGGAAACAGAATGGACAAACTTGAAGAAGATTGAAACGGATTGCAATTATGGTTTCACTTGTTCAAAGTTCATGTTTGTTGTTTGTAACGATTGATACAATGTTTGGGAGACATATTTTGTTTGACCACGAAGCTGTAATTTTGTTATTGAAAGGTAACTTCTCCAGTTTCAAAACGAATATATGGACCCGTACTGAACTGGCGTTATAAAAAAAATGATGTCACGGCCCGTAAAAGTCAAACCTCTTTACAAGTCCGAGGTGATTAAAGTTATTCATAGTTTTAAATGTCTAATGTCCTACCTTGAAGAGTCTCTTTTTGAAAAACATGGCGAAGTAATATCAAAAAAATGTAGATGACGACCCAGAAATTGGTCATTTTGATGCAGCTTCAGCTGCTTCAGTTAAATCACTTAGTATGACAATTGCAGAAATGAATGGATTTTTTCCTTAACGTGAATTTCTACATTTAGTTTGACATGGCGTTGTCCTTCAACGTTATGTATTGATCAGGAAGTCGAATACTTAGTTTTGACAGTATACTACTATCCTTAGTAACATATGGTGAAGTATTTACAAATTATGCCACAATATAGCTCAAAGTTATACCAGGAAGTCACGTAATAGAAACTCCATGGATTGAAGTCAGAGAATCAGCTTGTAAATGTTGTAATAAGGTAAGTGCAAAATGATTTGAAAAGTGCGAGAATACCAAAGGTTAAATCAAAAGAGAAAAACAAATAAATAACAAAACAAATGACACACAAAAAAAACAAAACAAAACAAAAAACAAGATATAGAATTGAAATGACCAAAGCCAAAAAAATCGGTATCTATTATAAATAGCAAGAGCCATAATATTCTAAGGGCGTTGGCCGGGATATCTTAAGGTGATTCCATAGTAAAAGAACCTAACATAGATTTTAGCTAAAACTTGGTACACTGATGTAACAAGTCAAGAAGATGATAAAAAAGTAATAAAAGTGGGGGTCACCGTGCTCGTTTTGACGTCACAATGCTGACAAATACGGCTATTTAGGACCCTTTTACAAAAACCGCGGGCAGCGCAAAACTAGACAAAAAGGAGAGATTTTTTCGATGATGCATGTGACATCACACAGAATTTGACTTTTAAGTGTTATTGTCAGAAAAAACCGGACAATAGCAAAAGATCGAGGTCGGCCGTTTACCTTCATGTTTTCACAGTATGAAAGCTATCTGAAAAGATGAACAACCGTGACATTTGGAGAAGTAGCCGTTCGATTTTCTTCGAGATATCACTATTTCGAGATTTTGGGACCTCCGGCGACCTAAAAAAGCACAAATTTTGGCCAAATTTGGGTGAAGTTAAAACATACTTGGTCAAACTCCCAAAAGTTCTTGTATTTTATCCATAACATCTATCGCTTCGTTAGTCGACTGGAATATGTTAAACTTCCTTTGCTTAAATACTCTATTTTTTACCTGGTGCTAAAAATCGCTCCTGAATCGTTAATGAGCGTCACCCAAATTTCAGTCACCGAGATGCGGCAGTTTATTTCAAAAGTAAAATCATTTCTAGATGGCTTATTGTGCTGTTATCAACATCCAGTTTGTTTAAAATTGGTATCTAGCAGCAAATTGGGGAAAATGGCATGCGAAGGTACAATAATAAGCGTCAAGTATTAATATTTCCCGCCAAATTTTATAGCGCCACGTTTCGTTTTACTGTGATTGTGGCTCGTAGATATCTTAAAGTATACTTTCATGACTTCACTAAAAAGATAATTGAAAACTTTTATATCACTAATGACAAGGATAAACATTGTAAATCTCCGTTTTCATAACAATCTCCTGAATAAACAATTATAAATGTCAAAAGTACGAAGCCCATTTTTCCCGCGAAAGTTTTAATTTATTTGTCACGCAATAGAGTGAAGCCAGACTTTATTCTTAGTTTTCAGACGGTCGCCAGAAAACAAACTTAAATCAAAGAATGCCATCAAAATGAAGACTTATCCTGATTAAGTTACTTCGTATGGACACTTTGTTTACATTTGTTGTGTTCGTTAGACTTGAGCCGACCGTTAATCAAATCCGGTTCATTTACTGAACGGGAGCCTCATACGCAGGAATTTTTAGGAGGATCACGTTTTACTTATCCTCTTTGTGGGCAGGAGTTAAACGTGATCGCCTAAAAACGTAGAAGTAGACATTTGAGGTAAACTACATCCAAACCCCTTATTGCAAGTTTCAGTCGAATTTCCTTATTGTTTATTTTGGTCATTACTATAATGTTACGACTCTGGCATTGGCAGGACCTAATTTACTGAAATGGGCGTTTTAGCTTGCTCTCTGCCCTTGGGAATAGATTTTTTAAAAACTATCAAATCGATATTAAGCTTGGTTTAAAACATTCAAATAGCGTTATCTTCTGATTACGTCACGCTATGAATGTCACGCAACTTTGAAATGTAGTTCCAAAAAAATGGAACGCACTTGGAGAGCTCTAAGCTCCCCGCCCACCACCCTTTCAACAAGCATGCATGAACTGAAGCATGTTTAGGTTTCATTGAAAACATGTGCATGTTTTCACATATGCTTCCAGTGGCTCAATGAATGATTTCTTCCTTGCTGGTGACCCGGCAACTGTTAGCTGTAGGCTCTGGCATATCTCTCTTAGTTCAGCTATTTTCAGCGTGTTAAACTTTTTGGCTCTTGAAAGCTCGCATATGTTTTTGCTCCCGACTTGAACAGGATGGCGAGGAACATTCGTGTCAAGGAGAACGGCAATGCGTAAAGTGTCAAGAGCAATTTCAGACTCTAGCGCTTCTAGGTCTTCTTCTGCAATTTCTTCGTTGGCATCTTCTAACGGGCTTTCTTCCACCTGCTTTTGTCTTTGTACTGCTGATAGCCGCGAGAAAAAGCTGGTTATTTGTTGCGCTGTTCTCCACTCCTCGGGAGTAAACAAAGAATGCCCATTTTCGTCCTTTGCGAACTTCATTTCACGGGAAACCTGTACTGGATCAGCCTTTAATCCACTTCTTGCTCCTGCGTCAAACTTTTGCACTAAATAGGCCTTTACGCGATCTGTCATTCTTACTGGCTTTTTGGTAGTTTTTAGAGCCCATCCTTTTGGTCTGATGTTTGTGGTTAAAGAGGAGGGTCTGTTGTGATCTGCGGAGCTTGTTCCTTGTTCATAGGAAGGCGCGTTCACACCAGTTATCTTCTCGGCCCACTTCTTTCTAATGGAATCATACAAGGACTCAGATTCTAACTTTCGAACATGCATTCCTGAATCCATGTGGGCCTCAGCCTCTTTCTCTGTCTTAAAAGTGAGGACGCATCCAGTCTCCCTGCACGAGAAAATTTCAGTATTAGGCCTGGTGCTTTCTGAAACAGTTCCCCGCTGTTTCGTTCAGGGACCAAACGGCTGTATCACTTTCAGGCCAGTGCCTCCTTGTTTCTCGACAATTAAATCGCTATACGAAAGCAAGCGACCCGGTCCAACATTGTATGCTTTCCAAGCACGGATTCCATTTTCCTCAAACTGGAAGTTGTTAAGAAAGGATATACCGGATATTTTGTTATCGATACCAGTCTCCTTGGAGGCATCAACTTCTACAACAGATGCTCTGCAACCCTTCAAGCCACTATGTGATTCCACTGCCTGTTTCATGTCCTCGGCCGTTATAACATTGTGCTTCTCGTTCACCCATCTTCTAATGTGTTTTTTCATGGGTGCAGTTTTCCTGTCACAGATATCTTTCCCAGCCTGGGGATCTGAATAGTCGTAGCGCAACGGCTTTATACCTGTCCTTTCCCCAATGTATGGGAGACTTAGGATAAGTGGCCCATTATGGTAACAACCAGCGTTGTCAGACCTCAAGAAAGCTTTGTTGTTTAAAGGATACTCTTGCTTGATAGTATGAAGTAAATGCTCGATGACTGACATTACTGCAAAGCTGTTTGATGACAATTGTTGAGGAGATGCACAAAGCACTCGACTTCATACCTTTCTTCATTATGCAAGTGCGTTATGACTGCACTAACATGCCAGCTCCTGCCACGCTTTCCGAAAAACTCAGACATTTGTTCTCGGTAACGTTGGGGCAGATATTTCATAGCCCAATCTACAACAATCAAGCATGTTTCGTCATCAAGCTGGCTTAGGGCGTCCTGCTTAGCTTCCTCCTGAGTAACAGAACGAGCCAAATGCGCCTTCCATGCTTGAACTGCCCGAGTGGACTCCCTGCTCTCAAACTTCATCCTAGCTTTGTGGTCTTCGCTAATGTTTGCCTCTTCCAGTTTGTTTGTGATTTCTTCTAACATATGGTCGAGCGATTCGCACCTTTCACATCCAATGTCGTGAGAGTGCTGACAATCCCCGCTGAATTCGAGATTGGTAGGATCACTTAGAGAATACACAATACAGTGGTCGCTGCTTTTCTCGTCTCTTCCCACGTGTGTCTTAAAATCAGTCTTTAGATATCTCTTTGCTTCTTTCATCGTCTGTACTATTTCTTGGACCCAATACTCGTCGGCACCGTTCTCCTTTAACGTTTCAGTCATTGATAGTAGACTGTCGAAGGCTTCAGATCCCTCAGCGGTGATATTATCCAGACCCTGAAGAGACTTCTGCATAGATGCTGAGCAAATTTCAAGCATTCTGAACAAGGAACGCTCACTAGCAGGTTCAAATTCTTGCTGTTTGCAATAACTGGTGTACTGCTCGATACTTCGGGAGGGGATCAATGTTCGTATCACAGCCGGGATGATGATACGTTCACCTGAGTCTAGCTTCAGAGTTTTTGTGCCAAATGCAACATCTTGAAGCAGGTCTGGTCGTGAAATGTAATTTATAAAATGATCAACTTTCACGGGATCGATTCTTGTTCGAAAGATAGGCTTTTCGGGAACAAGTTGCCCCCTTCCTACTTCTTTGGCGTGCAGGCGGGCCTGGTCAATTCTCCATTTTGTTAACCCTGGAAGTAGTCTCTGCAATTCCGCTTTGGTTAAATCATTTGCAAAAAGAGATAAAATCTGACGTTTGGTTCGCCACGACTCTGCTTGATCATGTGCTTTAATCAAGACATCAATAAGCCCAGTACTTGTGTCGAATTTTTTACGTTTGCGCGAATGACTATCTTCACTTTCTATTATCGATTCATTTCGAATGGAATTCCAAAGTTCTTTTTCCTGTCCGGGACAAATGACTGACAGTGAGACAGTCACGGCTTCTCGAGCCTTGCGTGCATAGTACTTTTGTTGGGTAATGGAAATGTCCTCCCACGAGGCGTTTAATGTAGAAAGTATAGGACTAAATCGTCCACCAGTCAGGTTTCCTAGAGCATCATTGATTTTCTGTCGTCCCTCATTTTGGAGTTCCTTCTCATCGCACCATATACTAACCTCTTCCTCAGGTTCACTGTTCTGTGAGCAAATTGAGGATAGGAATTGGCTATCGTCAATCGTCCCGTCATCAAAGCCAGGAGGATCTGACACCTCGCATTGCATATTCACTTCTGCATCTTCTTCCTGCAATTGGATTTCATCAATCGTCCTGTCATCAAAGCCAGGAAGGTCCGGCTCCTCGCATCGCATTGATGTCGAATGAACACCATGATCCTATAAGTAAGCATGTATAACAAATGTTCATGTTTTTCTCGCTATAGTTTACTCCTCATTGTCTTTTCTCTACCAAGGTTAGTTGTAAGGCTCTCTGGGTTTTCAATTCAAATTTGAAATGGTTCTTTTCAAGTTTAAAAACATTTTCTTCATGACTCTAATCGACACATTATCAATTGCTAATTCTCGGAGAATTAGCAATTTGTATTGGCTAGAGGCCAAATAAGCCTTCCCTAACACTTTGTAAATAAAGTAATGTGGTGATGATGGTGATGATGGTGATGCAAAGTGGTCTTTGCCTGGCTGTTTTAGGGCCTGCTGCTTACTAGTGTAACTGCTACTAGGAAACGGCGATATGAAATTTTAAAGGTTAACCGTAGACCAAAAGATATCCAACATCAACTGCAGAATACAACACATCCACTACCCATTGTGCTGACTTCTAAAGAATGCAAGGACTGCTGGGGAAGGCGCACTCCCCCAAAATTTTGAATAGGGGTGTGCCACGAAGGTTCTTAAACAATAACAATAATGCTATTTAAGGACGTTCGCTCAAAATCTTCTAACATTGATTTTTCCTTAAACTTTCACCAGTTTGAGATTGTAGGTTGCTTATGTCAGAAATTTTAAACAATTGGGGTGACCAAATAAGATGTACTAAAGACCACCCTAAAAAATTGGTCGTCATTGCTGAATATGGACGTATGCTACGTTTGTCCTTAGCGCGAACGTCTAGTACCTTTTTAAAGCCAAAACCCGAAAATGGCACCGCATTCAAGGAATCTAAACAATGGCTAATGCACACGGCAAACACAAATACCCTAACTCGCGGCACATGCCTATATTGCCCATATATTTGAGCAATATGCTTACGCATATTACGCTTGGCTCTTAATCTCTAGACTACGAGCAGTCGGTCTTTGTTCTTGAACACTCATGCGCAATGGGAAGAGTTTAAAATTATGCAAGCCAGGGGATAAACGATGGAGAAATTGGGGCTTTTCAGAATAAAATTCTAGTCTACAGTTCTTCGCCGATCGCTGCTTGATCCCCTACTCACATTCCAGTTTTCGAGTCGCCCGCAAGAAAAAGAGACTGCTCCTCGTCTGTCTAGCAATTTTCGTGAGCAAAAAGAAATTCCTAAAACCTAGCAAAGTAAATTTTCCATCACATAGTATTATCCTCGCTTTGAGTTTTGGTGAGCTGTTTAGATCCAGGTAGCCTTACAGCATTTTCGTCGGCGGTCTTTTGGCCTTCGCATATATCTCTTTCACTTTAGGATGGGCTTGTGGTTAAATAGTACACAATAGCCTGTATTTCCATATGGCCCGCTCTTCAATGTTTTTTCACAGCAGAAGCACAGAAGTTGCCCAGCCCATCCCCCGCCTAAACAATAGCCGACCCCAAGTAATTACTTAAACATCCCGCTGACCTCTTCTGCGCCTTCGCCACTGTCAAACTCTTTTTTCTTGCGCTCTTTATAATGTTTGAGCCGGCAACTTGTACAGATAGCTATCATGGAAAACATTGAAAACACATTTGATTAGAATCAGGATGTCACCAGACTAAACTTTGTTTGCTTAAATGCCTCTTGAACTAATTCAAAACCTCACTCCCCCAGACTTTTTTTCGACACCCCTCCTACGCAAAAAGACTGATAAATGAAACCGCCATTCCCTTGGCCATTTTTCCTTTCGTAAAAGCAATTCGATTTTAGTCGAGTCGGAAGTTAGGGTTCCCACTGCACTTGTAACATCTTCACCGGTAAACAAGTATAGACCGAGCAGTGCAGTGTAGTAGTCGGCTCCTTTAGATTCTGATAGCTCACTGACATTTATAATTTGACGATGCTTTCGAGATCCAGTATCTAGGTATATGGTAATTGGGATTGAGTGCGCATAGTGAAGCAGGATAAAGATGTCTGTGTCTGACGTCCTGACCACAGACGATTTGAATCCACGCCTGACGGCATAGTCGAGGTACAGCACAACTCTGGTGTCTGTCTCCTTGTTGGATACAAGCTCTTCAATCTCGTGTATCGCCACCTAAAATGCGTCATTTTTAATTATAATTAAATAAACCTGTACTGTAGAAATACGCATTTGCCAATCATAGCTTGCAGCCTTCTCATTTTAATGTACTCACATCGCCATAAAGTATTCCAAGTTGGTACGCCTTACAATCAACCACTATCAGAGCAGTTTCACATTTCTCCAGCTGAGAGGCTGCTGTCTTGCTCCCCTCCACTCACAGCATTAGTTGGCAGAGCTGTAGTTTATTCTTTTCTTTTGCAAGGTCGCTGGTCCCTCTAGGATATACCGCTGGGAGAAACCACTACGGAGTCGTTCTTGTGATTTGATGGAGTCTGCATGGTAAGAATCCGTTGAGAAGACAAAATTCTTCTTAGCCACCATCTAGTACCTGAAGGCATATCTCACCAAACGTTGGTGGTAGGTTCTTCAGGGCACGGAAAAGTGCGTTCCCATCCTGTATGTAGAGGCTCTCCGCTGGATAAATAACTTCTTCAGGAGCATCGTCCATCATATACTGCAGCATAGCAGCCTTGTTTGTCTTGTTGAAAAATCGGTCAGGTGTTCCAAGGCTGTGAGGCACAGGCTTAAGGGAGTAACGCATGTGCTCGTCAATGTCAATGGGATCATCGATGACACTGTTCAGGAATTTTACAAGGTCAGATGGGAGTAGTTCCTCAGATGACTTGACTTCAAGATCGTCGGCTGAAGGAGGCCAGGGAAGTGGCTTCGACTCTTTAAAAGCCTGCTTAATCGAGCAGCGTAGGAGGAGAGCGACATCTTCATATTTGTCTTTGAAACCCAAATTGTATGCATAGGCTACTGCTTCAGCAACGAACATGGCGGCACTGTAGACCAGATTATAGGTGATACAACCTTTGTCACCTCGGTTGACATTTGCGATAGTGATCAACTCACAAATGTCATGATTGTCAAGTCGTGCTTTCAAATTCTCACTTCTGTACTCTGGATTAGGAAAGCCATTTTTCTCCAACTCTTGGACGTAGAGAAGACGTAGAGAAGAAAGCAACAGAACTTTTCCTTGCTCAATAACGGAATCTTAAATAAAATCAAGCACGGCAGTGAATGCCTTCAGATGTGCAGATGCCTTCTGACCCTGATCTGTTTCGGTTTTGTCACGTCTTTTGTGGCTCGGGCTGTATCACGCAGATGATTTAAATACTTCAAGTTAAATAAACTGCGACAGGACGGGTGAAACTGGGCCTCTCGTACAAACAAATCTTCCCCTTGTACTTTGCGATGAAGATGACTATTGCCAAGCTCGAGGGCTCGAGGCTCAATCTATGTTTCCCAGTAGGCTCCTTTAGAGCTCCGTCTTTGTCCTTGAACACTGGGAACTTGATGCATTGCTCTGTTTTTTCACACGATTTCAGTTCAAGCTTTTCACAGAAAATGCATTTGGAGGAAACAGCTGCGGAGCAGATGAGAATGATGATTTACGAGGGGAACGTGTTGTTGTTTTGGCTTCACTATTAGGTGTCACACTGGACTTCAACTTATCCTGGTTTTTAGTAAACCTTTGGTAACAGGTGATAGCAGATTGCTTCTAAATTTGCACCCTCGAGATTCTCTGGAATCTGCAAACAAACATCTTCCATGAGATTCGGTGAATCATGAGGTTCCATAACTCGCCTGTTACGAACTTCATGTAATTGGGAAAGCTTCTCAGTAGCAGATCCCTTGACATTACTGAGTGCTGTGAAATCGCCATGATGAATGCCACACGCATGTAAAATACGGCGAAGAGCGGGCCGCTTGTGAAGAAAGTCTTGTCTGTTAGCGTTATTACCTTTGCGTTTCATCTCTTAAAATTCTAACAGTGATTTTTTTTTGAACGATTTAGACTCTTAAAAGTGCAAAACATAGTTCAAATCTTTCTTAAAATAATATGAAAATATGACTTGACGCATTTTTAATGAGTATCAAAATGAAATCGCAGTTTAAGTACAAACTATCCAAATTTTCACATATATTTTTTTCGTTTTTATATACAGGCGTGTAGAATAAAAGTTAAAGTGAAAAGAAGAAGTAGCGATACGTAAAAATGCCCTGCACACACTGAGTCTCACCTCGGCAAGAAACAACAGCAAGCAAAAATTCCAATAGCGTTTCTTTTCAGTCAACTCCATTTTAATAATATTACTTCACATGCTCCTTTTTACGGCGGCCATCTTGTTATGCGCAGTAAGAGATGCGCAGTGCAAAACTAGGGAATCACCTTAATTTCAAAACAGTTATTTTTAGAACTATGCGGACCACGTGGAAACAGTTTCCGGTAAGCTGGTTGACTTACGGAAGACTCGCTTTCACGATTAAACGCGCCAAAGCGAGGCGGCGTCAACAAATAAAAAAAATGGCGACACAAGTGGAGGGACGATGTGGAGTTGATAAATTGGCCTTCTTCAACGAAAAACACCATAGAAACTGCTTAAAACTTCTACACAAAAGGGTCCTTTACAAGCAACGGTAGAAATCGGTTAAAGCGACCGCGTGGCCATCGCTTATGTTTGAACAGCTGGAAAGAGGACAAGTAGCATTGCGCCCCGGATAAGCGTTGCACACAAAGCGCGCGGCAAAGGCGACCGTACAAGCGACCGTGTGGACGTATTTTCTATTGAAAGAGGAAGGAAAAGAACATATAAAGGTTTCCAGTATTTTTGTCAAGGACATGACCGGGAATCTTGTGGAACACACCTTTTCCTACTCGACTGATATTTTGTTCCGCACTCCGCATTGGACAATAAGCCATTCTTTAATGAACACAAGGTTAATAGAAGCGGAGGTTACTAT